AATGCTACAATGGAGACCAACTAAGTTTCTTTTTGCATTTTTACGGTAGGTGTCGCATTGTCATTACTATTTACATTGGATTCTTATTTAATCGATGAAACATTTTTTGTTGAAATTATTGTAATTTATAAACAAATTAATTTTTTTATAAAAAAAAAATTTTAATAAATTTTTTAATGAAAAATGTTAGAAAAATATTTTATGACATGTTTTTTTTTCAACGATTCAATAATTATGAATGTGTATGCATTTTAAATGAAGAGCTTATATATTGTCAAGCCAAAAAAGTATTATTGTGAAATGACAGAGTGACATTTACATCAGCGCCGTATATCGAATTAATTTCGCTTGGCATAGGGGGAAATATTTTGACAGATAGTACTCGATCCTTTGTTCATGAAAAACAATCGTCTTATATATATATTCAAAAATGTCTAAATTGAATTTTTCACATTTCATGCAGCTGAAGCATATAAAGGTAAGGGAACGAATGAAAGTGAGTGTTTGAAGTGTAATTTCTTTCAAGGTTGTTCATCAATATTAAAATGCGTGAACTCGTTGTATCATATCCTTATTGAGATTTTTTTTCGCTCACAATTCAATGCTAATTGCATGAACGATTCAATTAACATGTCAATGGATCAATTGAATTTTATTCGGTTTTTTTTACGTATATTTTCAGTACCGACCAAGCCAATGGACATGGCGAAGGGGAGAGGCGCGATACACTGCTGCTACAATTCATATGTAACGTAAATCATCGTAGAACCTGCACAAAAACAAATTTTTAAGAACAGAACAAAAATTCACACTCACATAAATATTTTCTAAAAGATAATTTAAAGCAACAGTAACAAAAGGGAAAAAAGCAACAGTATGACATCATTTTGTACTGTAAACGAAAATTATATTTCACACACGCCGCAAAAGATAACGCTGATTTTTTTACGATTTAGATAAACAAAACATTGAAATGGAATGAACATGAGTTTTTGTTTGTCTTATCTCTCTTCGAATTTCCTTTCTTTTTTTACTCAACATCGCAAATGTTTACGATGTGACGCGACCTTTCACCATAAAGAATATCAGCAATACATTGTGTTATATATTTTTTTATATTATCATTTGTTATTTATTCCAAAGAAGAAGAAAAAAAGAATCGAAATGTCCGCGCAATCATTACAGTTTCGATGTGTGGGATTCACAAAATTTGTTAAAACGAATGCAGAGATTTTTTTTTCTCTGTTTATCAGTTAAATTTCTTGGAATGTGTAATTTTGCGAAAAAAAAAATGAAAATGTTTTTTTAATGTAAAAAGGATTATTAACAAATCAGTTTTTAAGTTTTTGTATGTTTGAGAATGGCTTGGAAACAATTGGAAGCCATGTAAAAAAAGAAGATAAACTATGATGTTTTCGTGCAAAAGTGCAATTTCGGATTGGATTTTATTAGCTGGTCGTTGACGAGATATTTTTGTTTTTGAAAATGTGTATTATTTTCGATGGCTTTTACGGCCAATATATAATTTTATTTTTTATTTTTCGTCTTATTAAATTCGACATATTGTTTTTTTTTTAAAGAAGTTTTTGTTTTTCGTGCTAAATAAAATGAAAATTAACGACTCAGCTATTTAAAAGAAAGAAGAAATCAGGAGATGTTTGTTAGTGGCGCTTTAGTTAAGCAGTATCAGTTTATATTTAATTGAATATGATTTCACTGATTTGAGAAAGAAACAAATGAAACTAACGTTAATGCGATCTAAGGGGACCTATAAACTACACTTTAAAATCTATCTTAGGAACCACCAGTCAACTTACCAAATATTATCATTTTAATTTGTGGTGTTTAAATAAGCCGAGATTAATTTATATATCGTCTCTCTGTATCTGTCTCTATTTCTCATCAATCGGTTTGCTTCGTTTAACATTTATCGTTTCAATTTTTTTTTGTTTTGGAGGGCACTGCGCAACAACAAGAAACATTTTCTTTTGTATTTTGTATTGTGTAACTATGTTAAAATAAAAAATGTTAAGTAGAAAACCAACAAAAAACGCATTTCTTCTCTCGCTTTCATTTGATATGGATTTCTGATTGCTCCACGCATATCCGTTCAATATTCAAATAGTACCAACTAGTTCTTTTATCAGGTTTTATACAGTGGACGCCATCTGGCGAAAGATATAATTGAGAAAATTACATTGAATGCGAATTGACACTTGTGACAGAAGGTGATAATTTCCTTGATTTAACATCTGATCTACACGAAAACAAAGGCAGAAGTTTACTATAGAATTTGATATTCCATTCATTTTGTTTATTATTGTATCGATGGATATCAAAGAGAATTTAGTTAGATGATATTGTGTTCGGTAAAATTTACAATAGCATAAAAAAATTCGAAGAGAATTTGATAAAGCAAAAAAAAAAAAACATTTCTCAGAAGTGTGTTTAATTTATTTCGTCATTTATAAAAATATCAATATACTCTCAAAACAATGGATGATGTCAAACTCTTAACAACATTAAAAATATTAATCATAGGAGAAAGTAATGTAGGCAAATCGAGGTATGAACATAATCAATCAACTTTTATTTTAATCAATTGAATAGCAATGTATGTGCACTTTGCACTTGTGTATCTATGTTAATTGACGTGTTACTTTTCATTAATTTTACTGCGTCACAGTTTATTATTACGATTCACCGATGACGAATTCGATCCAGAACAGTCCTTGACGATTGGAGTTGATTTCAAAACAAAAATTATCAATGTCGATGGTAATAACGTGAAATTGGGTATGGCGTCAAGTCAAACAAATATTTTTTTTTACTTTTCAATGATTCGAGTGCATATTTTTTTAGCTTTATGGGATACGGCTGGTCAAGAACGCTTCAGAACGCTTACGCCTAGTTATTATCGGTGAGTTCTTCTATATTCATAGTCAAATTCAAACACTTAATGATGGATATTTGTTCTTTTGTTTTCTACATAGTGATGCTCAAGGCGCAATTTTGGTGTATGACATATCGAAACACAGCACATTTCAAAAGTTAGAATCATGGTTAAATGAACTGGAAATATATGGCACCAAACCAAATATGGTGAAAATGGTTGTTGGCAACAAATTGGACCAATCGCACCGTGAAGTGAGTCGTGACGAGGGTATTCGCTTTGCCAAAAAGCATCGGACACTATTCCTTGAAACATCGGCCAAAACAAACGAAGGAGTTGAAGAGACCTTCGAGGAAGTTGTACGCAAAATATTGGAAGCAACACATTTATGGGACAACCATTCTGTATCAGATGCAACAAGATTTAATTTAAATGGCCATGGCGATGCTCACGAAGGCACATCTTATTGCAATGGTGTTTCATGTTCATTAACTTAAAATGCCGACAATTAATTGATCTGTTTTTTTTTTTGCTTTCTCTACGTTTGTTTAATACCTAAAAATATATGTAACGCGTTGATTGATTTACCGTAATTTGTATTAACATTATTAGCTAGATATGTTGGTACTATTTTGATGGAAACCAACTTTTCACATCAATAATTCGAAATTCAAATGTAAATTACCATTGAATGTGAAATCATCCACAATCTAATTTGAATAGTGCTAAATAAAATTAGAACACAACCTTTTTGGCTAAAATATTTCCTATGCATTTATTTTAATTGTTGTTTGTCAATTCTGATATTTTGGTGAGGTTGAAAATAAAACTCAAAAGTCATAGCTTGTGCGGCGTTTTTCGACTTGAAGTAATTTTTTGTGCGTAAATTTGTTTTAATGCATATGAAAATATTAAATTAATTGGATAGAAACATGGGAAAATATTTAGATTTTGGCCCAAGCAAAAATATACAGCTACATATCCATCTGAGATTATAGTCATCATAATTCTTTTATTTTTTTAAATAAAAAATATTTTCACGTAATATGATGTTATTTGTGGCAGATGTTCTTTTCGTTTTGTATCCGTAATTGATTTGAATCGATTTATGTGGCAAAGAATATGGCGAAATTTATCAAAACCTATTTACACTGCTGAGTTTTTTTAATGCCACCTTCCAAAATTTTGATGAAGAGGGTCGTCATTCTTTGCAACTGCTATGAATACGTGAACGAGATTGCAGAGTGACAAAGGACGCCATGGAAAATTTCTATTTTGGTAATCATTACGCTTGAGAGATGATAATTTTGAAATATACCTATAAAACTAACGACATGATCTGAAAACAACTCGATTGAAATTTGATTATAAAAGGAGAACGTCGTTCAAACTAAATCATCAAACCATCTTATCTTCACAGCGTAAGAAAAAATTGAATTGAGTTTAATTTTTAAAGTGTGAAAAAAGAATTAAATAGGGTACTCCACACTAAGAATTGCAATAAGTGTATTAGATACAATGTGGAAAATGAAAGTTTATATTGCAATATTATCTTCTGTCGCATATTTGGTGACATGTGTGCCAAGTAACCACATGTAACGCGAAATATGCGCAATCTATGTACACAGTTATATCTTGCATAGATTTCGCACATTTTTATTCGATCTTTAGCGAATATTATTCTATATGTATATCTATTCCGGTTCAAGATAAAATTACT